AATAACGAAAAGTAAATTCTCTTAATCAAAAGCACAGAATAATAATATTTGCAAAAATATCACTTACTATGCCATGGCTTGTGATTAAAATTTCTATTAAATCGGTAAAGGAAATTAGCATAGATAATAAGACAGAATATCTAAGTGAGAGAAAAAATAATTAAGAAAAAAAAACTACAATTTTTCTTTTACTGATAAAGTATCTGTTTATTGATAAAGTAATTGCGTGCATATTTAATTTTTGTTTTTATTTTATTTATTTATTTTTTTTTATTCCATTGTATACTTTTGCTTTATTTTTATTATTATACATTCATTGATAGATTACCTTACGGTAAGAATTTGATGGAAGTCAGTTTTAATAAATAGCAACTATTTCATACGCAATGTTTTAAAGTTTAACTTTTAAACGCAATATAATTTCATACGTAGGCCTTGAAATATATTTTGGAACAAATAATAGATGAAAGTAAGAAAGCTAGTGGAATGAAATTATTATTAATATATTAAGGTAGAACTGGAAAACTGACGAGTAATCCGTTACTCAGGCAATCAGGCGATAATGAATGAGTGAATTCACGAGTATAATACGTAAGAAACTTTTTCATAATTTATTATGAAAAATAAAAAAAAATATAATATTAAATATAAAAGTAGCATTGAGAAATTATAGTATTGATTAATAAATACACGGGCATTATAAAAGTTTTGTAAAGTATGCTTTGAAAGAAAATTAAATTACAAATATGTTTCTAGTTATATATTACATGCCTTTTCGATATGTTGTTTGTACTAATATTTCGTACAATTATAAATATATGTATATATATATATATATATATATATATATATATATATATATATATTTTTTTTTTCTTTTCATTTTGACGTATTATATATAATAATGAAGTGCGGTGAAGATAAATGTTGCATCTTTTTCAATATATAAGCTTTCAGATGTCACTCACACGTCAAAGATTTTCTATTCATAATAAAGTTATTAAGAACACTCACAGTTTTAATTTATTTTATAAACATCTTCTGTTTACTTTATAACAACACTTTTTTTACAACGCAACAATGTACTCTTCAAGTAATATTGTTTGTCAATGTGATATAATAAATCAAAATTATATCGGCAATAATTACATGTAAAACTCTTTCAAGGTACATGTATTTATAATTATCTGAAAAATGATAAAATTTTCATTTAAACTTTGTGCTATTGGTTATCGTGAAAATTTGTAGGCTTTGTATATGAAATAAATGAATTTTCTTTGTAATTAATTGTGTTGAAATAATGTTGTAAACATATTTTCGAAAATTAAATTCAATACAGTTAGAATTAAAATCAGCACAAGTTCAAGATGTTTTTGATATATTTTTTTTTTAAAGGTTTTTTTATTGCATTCTAAGAAAGTAAATTCCAATTTCATTAAAATTCGTGTTTGCTGAACGAGCGCTGATTTACAATGAGATTAAAAATGATTTACCAACACTTAAATGTGAAGCAAGTATATTGATCTAAACCAGTAATAATATCAAATGTCTTATTCACTTTAATACGATATTTTTTATTTTATTTTATATTGTTTGTTATTTTTTCATTTCTTTTTTCTTTCTTGCTTTTTTTTTTTTTTTTAATTTCACACAGTACAACGGAGATAGTACGCTTTATAAATTAGTCTGGATTTATAATCAACTACGAGGTTGCGGAAGCGAATGATTTTTCTCCTCGTTATCTTTACCAATCCATTTCTTTGGCTTATCGATACATAATAATAAGAATAATAATACATAAGCAAACTTTGCGTTTCCATAATCTCCATTCGTCAATTATCTCGACGACATGCGAAAACGCATCGATACGCTCGTCCCGTCGATGAAAACGCGCAAGGAAATAAGATTAATCGTAAACATCGGGATCCTCGCGAGTCCGTGGTAAACGCACGGAATGAAAGTCAAAGGAATAGGACGCTTTCTTTCTCTATCCCGACGATACGCGCTCAGCGTCTTCTCAAGCCAGGAAAGCGATATTCCCATTTTCTCAGCGGACACACATTCGAGGGTAAATAACAATGATAAGGATGAAAGCGAGCGCGAGGTATTATACAGGTAGTCTGTCGGTAGGATAAGAAGGGGCCGCGGGTCGGCATTAGAGGAAGAGTCGGAGCAAAGTGAGGAGGCCACGGCGTAAGAGAGGATGTTTTGCCGAACGAGGAGTAGTATGGATCCTTGTAAGACGTTTTAATTGGACAAATCCGCCTATCCTCATTAAACCTGAGAAAGTCTCTGTCTCCGACTTTCCTACCTGGCCCTTCTCTCGCCCTCCGGCCCTCGCCTACTTACGTGGCTTTTTGCTTTTTCATCTTCGCGCTAAATTGAAAATCTTGCGAGTGCACGCGTCTCGTACCCCCCCCCCCCCCCACACCCCCCCAACAACCTATCACACC